GGAAGAGAGTACTAGTGACTTCAATGAAATATATTTCAGAGTAAATACGCCTAAGATTGGCCAGCAAGTCTCACTGAAATCAATGGTCTACTTTCTGACTTCAGTCATTTTGGGCTTTAGTGTCCAGTTGAAATGAGCTGAAAAACACATTCAAAATTTGGAGAACAGATGTTTGGCTATACTGCATCCTGACTATGTTGCATCAGGAAAAGTTTTTTTCTGTTTGTCCTTTTCACAAAGTTTGCTTAAACTATAATTTTCAATGTGGCATATCACTCTGAGGACTATAAAAGCATTTTGAACCTATTATTACTGCATAAATAGTTAATTATCAGTATTTTATAATTATGAAAGCTAGGCACTGGCAATTGGTCTATAATTCTTATTCTGCTTTTTTCCCTACCCCAGGGAAAATCAGAGATCTTGATATCAGTGCTTGGTATACTTCCTTAGAAAATCTTTCTCTAATTAAGATGCTTAGAGGAGCTGATAATGCTTATCTTTTAAAATAAAATATAATGAAATGGTATGTCCAGTTCCAGTCTATATTAAAAGTGAAGCAAAATAATCGGTGATCATTATTTGGAATAGTACACTGTGAATGAAATGTTGGGTTGCTAGATCAATGGCACCTACAGGGATGATGATGATGATGATGATTACCAAGTTGGATGGACTAAAAAGATTTGCTGATTAAAACCTGGATAAAAGTAATTGCAACAACTCCAGGAACACTAATTGTTTATACATTGTTTGTTAGATGAGCAAGGGCTGCTATGTTGAAGTATCAATAAAGGTTGAAGAATATAAACATCTGAAAAATAATGCTTGAAATTTTCCTTGAAGTAAGATTTAAACTTCTCTTTTGTGGTGCTCCCTTCTATATCTCCAGGTCCTGCTTCCATTTCCTTCTCTGCTATTTCTTAGACTAGGGTCTTTCTCCTGCCTTTCACCTATTAAGTCTATCTCCTTTACTCATTCCTCCTTCCAAAGTCTCACTGCTCTAACAACACAGAGCAGCCTTTCCTGAATCACTCACAGCTGACCCTGCTTTCACCTGTGTTGCTTCCCAGCTCTATCCAACTGCTTTCAGACCTTTCTCCCTGAACATTTCCCTGAAAATCTAGATTTAAAGACACGAAATGCATCCCTGTTATTTTCTGCATAACAGTGTCACTACAGTGGTACCTTGGCTCATGAACTCAATCCATTCTAGGACTCTAGTCGTGACCCAAAATGGTCATGAGCCAAGTTAAATTTCCCCATAAGGTTCAATGTAAATAAGGTTAATCCGTTCTGTAACTATTTTTTAAATCAGAAAAATGTGAAGCAAAGTGACAAAGAACAACAAAGATTGCGGCCATCTCTCCCTCCACCCCTCTCCAAGCATGAGTGTGACCATCTCCCAGCTCCCCCCCCCCCC